AGTTCAAGGTCAAATTGACCATTTAGGTAAAAAAAATTTCCGATCAATAACGAAAGAAGGCTTAATCCTAAGAACCTCAAACTTGGTATGATGATTGGACATGACCAGTTGATGACCCCGATTGATTTTGGGGTCAAGGGGTCAAAGGTCAAGGTCACATTGACCTTGAAGGTAAAAACGGTTTCCGATCAAAACCTAAAGAACGCTTAGACCTAGGAACATCAAACTTGGCATGGTGATTTGCCATGACCAGTAGATGACGCCTATTGATTTTGGGGTCAAGTGGTCAAAGTTCAAGGTCACATTGACCTTGTAGGTAAAAACGGTTTCCGATCAATAACTAAAGAACGCTTATGCCTAGTAACTTCAAACTTGTTATGGTGATTGGTCATGACCAGTAGATGACTCTACTGATTTTGGGGTTAAAGGTCAAGGTCACATTGACCTTGTAGGTAAAAAGGGTTTCCGATAAATACGAAAGAACGCTTTGGCCTAGGAACTTCAAACTTGGTATGATGATTGGTCATGACCAGCAGATGCACCCTATTGATTTTGGGGTCAAGGGTTCAAAGGTCAAGGTCACATTGACCTTGTAGGTAAAATCGGTTTCCGATCCATTATTAAAAACGCTTAGGCCTAGGAACTTCAAACTTGTTACGATGATTTGTCATGACCAGTAGATGACCTCTATTGATTTTGGGGTAAAGGGGTCAAAGTTCAAGGTCACATTGACCTTGCAGGTAAAAACGGTTTCCGATCAATAACTATAGAGCGCTTAGGCCTAGGAACTGCATACTTGGTATGGTTAATGGTCATGACCAGTAGATGACTTCTATTGATTTTGAAGTCAAGGGGTCAAAGGTCAAGGTCACATTGACATTGTAGGTAAAAAAGGTTTCCGATCAATTACTAATGAACGCTTAGGCCCAGGACTTTCAAGCTTGGCATGGTGATGTGCCATGACCAGTAGATGACCCCTATTGATTTTGGGGTCAAGTGGTCAAAGTTCAAGGTCACATTGACCTTGTAGGTAAAAACGGTTTCCGATCAATAACTAAAGAACGCTTAGGCCTAGTAACTTCAAACTTGTTATGGTGATTGGTCATGACCAGTAGATGACTCTATTGATTTTGGGGTTAAAGGTCAAGGTCACATTGACCTTGTAGGTAAATACGGTTTCCGATAAATACGAAAGAACGCTTTGGCCTAGGAACTTCAAACTTGGTATGATGATTTGTCATGACCAGCAGATGCACCCTATTGATTTTGGGGTCAAGGGTTCAAATGTCAAAGTCACATTGACCTTGTAGGTAAAAAATGTTTCCGATCCATTACTAAAGAACGCTTAGGCCTAGGAACTTCAAACTTCTTACGATGATTGGTCATGACCAGTAGATGACCTCTATTGATTTTGGGGTCAAGGGATCAAAGGACAAGGTCACATTGAACTTGTAGGTAAAAACGGTTTCCGATCAATAACTTAAGAACCCTCAGGCTTATGAACTGCAAACTTCGTATGGTGATTGGTCATGACCAGTAGATGACCTCTATTGATTTTGAAGTCAAGGGGTCAAAGGTCAAGGTCACATTGACATTGTAGGTAAAAACGGTTTACGATCAATTACTAAAGAAAGTTTAGGCCTAGGAACTTCGAACTGATATGGGGATTGGTCATGACCAGTAGATAAACCCTACTGATTGTGGGGTCAAGGGGTCAAAGTTCAAGGTCACATTGACCTAGCAGGTAAAAACTGTTTCCGATCAATAACGAAAGAACGCTTAATCCTAGGACCTTGTATCTTGGTATGATGATTGGTCATGACCAGTTGATGACCCCTATTGATTTTGGGGTCAAGGGGTCAAAGGTCAAGGTCACATTGACCTTGTAGGTAAAAACGGTTTCCGATCATAACGAAAGAACGCTTAGGCCTAGGAACTTCAAACTTGGTATGATGATTGGTCATGACCAGCAGATGAATCCTATTGATTTTGGGATCAAGGGTTCAAAGGTCAAGGTCACATTGACCTTGTAGGTAAAAACTGTTTCCGATCCATTACTAAAGAACGCTAAGGCCTAGGAACTTCCAACTTGTTTCGTTAATTGGTCATGACCAGTAGATGACCTCTATTGATTTTGGGGTTAAGGGGTCAAAGGACAAGGTCACATTGACCTTGTAGGTAAAAATGGTTTCCGATCAATAACTATAGAACGCTAAGGCCTAGGAACTGCAACTTTGGTATGGTGATTAGTCATGACCAGTAGATGACGTCTATTGATTTTGAAGTCAAGGGGTCAAAGGTCAAGGTCACATTGACATTGTAGGTAAAAAAGGTTTCCGATCAATTACTAATGAACGCTCAGGCCTAGGAACTTCAAACTTGATGTGGGGATTGATCATGACCAGTAGAAAAACCCTATTGATTTTGGGATCAAGGGGTCAAAGTTCAAGGTCACATTGACCTTGTAGGTAAAAACTGTTTCCGATCAATAATGTAAGAACGCTTAGACCTAGGAACTTCAAACTTGGTATGATGATTGGTCATGACCAGTAGATGACCCCTATTGATTTTGGGGTCAAGGGTCAAAGGTCAAGGTCACATTGACCTTGAAGATAAAAACGGTTTCCGATCAATACCTTAAGAACGCTTAGACCTAGGAACTTCAAACTTGGCATGGTGATTGGTCATGACCATTAGATGGCCCCTTTTGATTTTTGGGTCAAGTGGTCAAAGGTCAAGGTCAAATTGACCTTGTACGTAAAAACGGTTTCCGATCAATAACTAAAGAACGCTTAGGCCTAGGAACTTCAAACTTGTTATGGTGATTGGTCATGACCAGTAGATGATTCTATTGATTTTGGGGTTAAAGGTCAATGTCACATTGACTTTGTAGGTAAAAACGGTTTCCGATGAATAACTAAAGAACGCTTAGGCCTAGGAACTTCAAACTTGGTATGATGATTGGTCATGACCAGCAGATGCACCATATTGTTTTTGGGGTCAAGGGTTCAAATGTCAAGGTCACATTGACCTTGTAGGTAAAAACTGTTTCCGATCCATTACTAAAGAACGCTTAGGCCTAGGAACTTCAAACTTGTTACGATGATTGGGCATGACCAGTAGATGACCTCTATTGATTTTGGGGTCAAGGGATCAAAGGACAAGGTCATATTGAACTTGTAGGCAAAAACGGTTTCCGATCAATAACTAAAGAACCCTCAGGCCTAGGACCTGCAAACTTGGTATGGTGATTGGTCATGACCAGTAGATGACCTCTATTGATTTTGAAGTCAAGGGTTCAAAGGTCAAGGTCACATTGACCTTGTAGGTAAAAACGGTTTCCGATCAATAACTAAAGAACGTTTAGGCCTAGGAACTTCAAACTTAATATGGGGATTGGTCATGACCAGCAGATGAACCCTATTAATTTTGGGGTCAAGGGTTCAAAGGTCAAGGTCACATTTACTTGAAGTTCAAAATGGTTTCCACTCTATACCTAAAGGACGCTTAGGCGTAGGAACTTCAAATTTGGTATGATGATTGGTCATGACCAGTAGATGACCCCTGTTGATTTTGGGATCAAAGGTCAAGGTCACATTGACTTGTAAGTAAAAACGGTTTCCATTAAATAACTAAAGAGCGCTTAGGTCTACGAACTTCAAACTTTATATGATGATTGGTTATGACCAGTAGATGACCCCTATTGATTTTTGGGTCAAAGGTGAAGGTCACATTGATCTTGTAGGTAAAAACGGTTTCCGATCAATAACTAAAGAACACTTAGGCCTAGGAACTTCACACTTTATATGATGATTGGTCATGACCAGAAGATTACCCTTATTGATTTTGGGGTCAAGGGGTCAGTGTCAAATTGACCTTGTACTTTAAGGTGGTATCTGACCAATAACTCAACAAGTCAAGTTGCCTTGGTTGATATTTTTATGTTAAACTAAAAATGCTTTTGGTATACACATTTGAAGGTCTTATGTAATATTACAACTTGGCTGTCATTAATGAGGCCTACATGATTCATAAAATTGATGCATATTTTATTTGATAAGATTTGTAATAACTCAAATTGCTGCACACAACCTATGGAGTCACAATAATTATTACCTTGTGACTAGTCATGACCAGAAAATAACCCTTATTATTTTTTTGTTCACTGGGTCAGAAGTCATGCATAATAACCTGATCACATGACTAATTGGCTGCCCATAGGGGGCATACATGTTTTACAAACATATCTTGTTTTATTAGAGTGACATTTATACACGTAAAAAATATATAAAAACATATACAATACAAACATTAAATTCTAAGACTGTTGGCAAGTCCCCAGCCCAAAACACCGAAGTTTACTGTTTTATGCACTGAAGATTAATCTCCCTTAGCTAACCCCTTTCCAACACAACAAAATACAGGTGTTTCACTTTACATGTAAAATCACCAAAAGTATCCATGTAAATCATGTTAAAACTTAAAATGAGATGTAAAAGGATTAAAGTAAAATTATAATCCAAAATGCCTCACAGTCAATTACTAGTATCCTTTACCGATATTGAGACGGAGTTAGCCTATGTTTCATTCTTAAAGAAAGTTCAATATGATTTTTTTGTCTTCTTCAACAATCAACTAATGCAATTCTTCTAGCCCGTTTCATAACTTATTTTAGTACGGTGCATTTGTTTTGTTCGGTTAAGCTTATCAAATTTGTACGAACATTGTTTGAAATCAGTATTGAATTCAACAATATGTATCTGATGTCATCTCCGTGAAATATATTTCAAACGTCCAATGTGAAGGTTATAAAGCACGATATAATGAAATTGTTTCCGACCAGGAACCAATATTTTTTACATAGAATAAACAAAAGTCAGCTTTATTTTATCCGTTTCTTAAACTTGTCACATTCTTGTGCATTAATATTTTAATACTAATTTTGAATATATTTAGATGCACCAGATATCGTTGTAAACGTTAGTAGCCGGAATCCAACTGAGAACAACATCTAAACAGTTAAATGTGAACCTAAAGGAAGGCCTACAGATTACCATTTCTCGTTGCTTGTACATAAATGGGGAGATATGGTTATATCTAAAGTACTTAATTCAACCAATGGTGTCATAGAAGTACAAAATGTTCAACTTCAAGATAGTGGTACTTATATTTGTGTTGCAAATAATGGCATCCTAGACAGGAAACAGAAGCTTGATCAAAGTGGAAACAACACTGTTAATGTTAAAGGTTAGTGATTATCAAATTTAGCGCAAACATTGATTATTATTTCATGCTTGTTGCTCTGTTTGCACTGAGTTTGTTTTATGATATAGTAACAGAGATCAATATTAATAAAGAAGAAAAGAGTAAAAATGTAGAAAAAGAAATGAATTTTAATATTACTAACGAAAATATCAAGATACTATTTAGCGATTTACGAGTGGTTATTCAAAACACGTTTGTTATATTTTTGCAATGATGTTTAACTGCGTGGACTATTGTAAATGACTGTTTAAGATAACAGGTTGATACCTGCATAAATAAAGATTGACATGATTTCAAATAATTATATAACGGTACCTGGCGCACGCCAGGATAAACAAGAGCTGTCGGTAGGACAGCAACGCTCGACTATTCTTAGTGCTTGATAGTAAAAAAAGCCTTGATAATGTAAAATTTTCGAAGTTAACAAAAGGGCAACTTTTTTCTTTCAATCTATGTTACAGTTATAGGCCTTGAAGAGAGTCCTATTATGCTTTCAAAGAAGAGTATAAAATTTCTGCTTGTTTCAAAGCCATATGTCAATGGACTTTGAAAATATTTGAGGTATTACAAAAACTTTAACGTAAATACTAAGTCGAAAAGGGAGTATAATTCTGTCAAAATGCTTGATACAGTTACCTCCTCCTGTCTACAGGTTCGGGTCATAATGGTGAATAAGTGTGCAAAGTTTCAAAGCCATATGTCAATGGACTTTGAAAATATTTGAGGTATTACAAAAACTTTAACATAAGTGGTTACGCCGACGCCGACGCTCGGGTGACTACAATAGCTCTACTTATTCTTATCGAATAGTCGAGCTAAAAAGTAAGAAGTCATGCCTGTTTAAAAATATGTCAAAAAGATTTGACACATGACGTCAAATTATCAATGACTGAAAATACTTTTATTTTTCTAGATATTGCTTCCAAAATAAGACGCCGCTTTAACTAGGACTCAATTAATGACGAATATGGGGAAATTGAAAATCGCAGAATTATCAAATGTAATATGAACTAAAGAACACAGACTAAAGAAAGAAATTCTCATACAAATTCAGGAAAGGCAGTATCGCGTTCTTCAGTTTTTAAATGCCACACAAGGCACAGTATGAAGGAAGTGAAGATGTTAAAAACAATCTTCAACGCGGGCGAAAATACATCACTTCGGCAAAGTAACACTCATGTAACAATTATGTTGAAAACAATTAACTATTTCTTTATACATGGAACTTTGGATACTAACTGACAAGTCATAATATGTAAATAAAACATTTTACTGGTAAACATCTTAACATGTTAGTAACAAGTTAAGGAACAACTAAGGGATCGTCAGTAATATTCGTTGCGCTATTCTGACGTTGACCTCAGATTATTTTCAAAGTGCGCAGATTATGCCAAAATCTGTTTAATCTGATACAGATGTCAAATAATTAAGAAGATAAAAAAATCAATGTATCTGTGGATAGTCCCTTGTACTATTGTACATATCGCGAGGTGCATTTTATATAGCCTAGGCTGATATGACGCCAGATGATAACAACCTATATAATCTTTTTATTAATGTCTCGTTTCAACCCCCTGACATTACCGACCCTTTGCAAACACCGGATGACAGATTTTACTAATTATTCCTTTTAAAATGTTTACCTTCAAAATTGTTTGGTCTGTTGTAATAAATAAAAATTCACATCCCATTGAGGGTGAAAGAACCTTGAAAAAATCAAAAGAACAAACAATGTTGTTACACTAAACCAAAGCTTTGATTGATATCACTTGTCTCGGGGAAAATCCGTTCTATCTCTGTCAGTGGGTTGTAATATTTATAGAAATAAAGGCTTAGACTAATAAAGGTACTATTTAATACCTAATGTATCTAAACTTAAAAATAGAAATGTAATAAACATCAATATACATGCCTTTTAAATGTGAGAATGTGAGCTTTGACGTTGTGTAAAAACAATCGAGTGGAAAATCAAAATGCTATGGACAACTAGGCATGGTGACAAATACTCCTATGAAGTTTCACTGAATTTTCTCAGCGGTTTTGGATATGAGATTAACGTAGACAAGCTTATTCTACAAAAAAAAGACCATAAAGGAGCCATAGCTGTGCAAAAAAAATCAAGCAGAATATCAATAGAGTATGCACAATAAGTCTTGGTGACAAAGAATCCTGTGATGTTTAGTTTCACTGAAATCCCCAGCAGTTTTGTAGATGAAGCGCGGATAAGAGAATAGGACGGACGGACAGTATGATTACTATATGCCCCCCTTCGAGGTAAAAAAATATTAAAGAAATTTTAGTTAAAAATTATTCAATGACGAGATGAGATAATCGCAATAAGGAGTTTATACGAAAAACGATACGAATAGAGAAAATCATTTTCAAATGTTCAAAGCTTCATAAAATACTGAAATTGGTCAGTTCCTTATCAGATATATTGTGCAGTAAACTCTCAAGTGAGTCAACCTGTGTCTCATAATTTAAAATACGTTCATAATCTTTGCTTATATGTATAGATTGTGTGCCCCTTCTATGGAATATTTCAGTGTCACCTAAGATACTTTTAAAGGTAGATGACAGGAAATTCTTCGGGAAACTGGGATTTGCGGCCAATATTACAGCACCATTTTACAGTAACCCACCACCTCAAACTCTACAATTCAAATTCCAAAATGGCACTGTGATAACAAATTCTAACAAATATACAGTGTCATTCTTTAAAGGTATCGTCAAGGATACATTTTATGGAAAAGAAGTGGAGCTAGACAGTCACTTTGCTCAGCTTCAAATAAAGAATGAGGAAGAATCAGATTTTGTTAACTACACTTTGATCATTGATAACGGGATTGGATCTTTTAAATCATGGATTTTGGAACATGTCTATGAAAGTAAGAATATGTATGAATTATAGTGATTTATCTTGCTTTACTAAACGACAACTGAAATATCTTCTTTAATTTGTATCACATTAAATTACTTTTGTGCTACAATTCTGAAATGATACCTACAAGAAATGATTTTAGACATTTTAGAGAGTTTTGGGTTTTTCTTTACATTTGTTTAAATATTTATTAAAATATTATATTAAAACATTTTGAAAAATATGCACTTACGTGTCGTATTAGAGGTTCCATAATAACCGCCATATGAAAACATCTGCGCATATTTCAAAATTTAAATTTTTACTTATTCATGTTAAATTATGAATTCTGCTAAAATCCGTAGAGGTTGCTCTAAATTACCACTGGAAGCCATTAACATGCTCAATTAAACCGAGCATGAAACATCTTCAAAATTGATGTGGCTTTTATTATGGAGTCCTTTTTTTCTCTAATTTAAATGTTATTCCTTTAAACTTCATCAAATGAATTTTTCTTTATAATTCGAGGTTTTAGCAATACTATAATGAACAAAACAGAAGTAATGATGAATTTTCATTAAATCTCATACAGGATTATTTTATTTATACAACTAAATAGTTTAATCGTGATCAAAACCAATAAGAAATTGTTCACACGTATAGAAAAGCACAAATGAAATATGTTTCATCGATACTGATTACAGATACACCGAACGTACCTAGAAATGTCTCACTTACAAAGGAACTGAGTACTGATAATTCCTTAACTGTGCAGTGGAATCCTGGTAACGATAATGGACATAAACAGACTTTTATATTAAAGTATAGAAAAGTATCAGACATGGTTTGGAGTGTCATTTCCATCTTAGACATGGGTTATTTGATTAACTATACCATTTCCGGTTTAACAAGCGGAACCTATTACGAGATTATTTTGTATGCTTCGAACACGGTTGGAAATTCTAAAGAATCTCACCTAATCGGAAAAACGACAGGTTTGCTTTTCTAATAAGAAGTGATCTGTTAGTTTATCGCAGTATCTTTATATTGAGTAACGTCACCTACAGCTCGAATTCGCTATTCTTTTCATTATCTGTTTATATCAATATTGACCAAAAGGGGTGTCGATAATTCTTAAATAAAAGGATACGATTTATCGCCTAAATATTTAATCACCTAAACAATTACTCATACTGCGTAATAGCGTAGTGGTTGAGTGTTGGCTTCGTCAGTGTTGAGACCCTACTTCGATTCCTGGAAAAGGCATTTTTTCTTTACTGATATGTTTTTGTTTTTAGATATTTTTAGTTTTTTCTTGAATTTCTTTCACACAATACTATTAGAGAACTTTTATTAAGTTAGAAACAACAAAGTTTTAAATTGACAATATTATTCAATCTGTTCAATGAATTTTGCAATAAAATACATTCAATTTTTCTAAATCATAATAAGTTTAACTTTAAATTGTACATAATATGAAATAAATCACAGGTTTATTAAAGATAATATGAAAATGTTTTCTGAAAGTAAAAACCATACAGACACAAAAAATATTGCACAATTGCAGGTTTGAAAATAAATTGTTTTTATTCCACATGAACTCTTGATAAACTCAACTCTCTAACCACTACGCTACTCGAATGTGCATGTCCATATCCACTTTTATTTACTATATTGCAATAACAATGCAAAATTAAATAACTGAATAACTTGCACAACCCATTATGTCATAATGGTACGACCAATTAATGTAAACGTTATCGTGTTCGACTTATACTCCTTGTACGATAGGTTATACAAATAATAAAACTCCAATTTCAAAATTATATATTCGGAATATTTTTTCCTGAAGTAAAGTATAATTTTTTGAAATAGATCTTTGTAATGGTGAAAGAGAAGATCAAAATATAATGCTACAAGTTTTGCAGCATTAATATTAATGTAGATTATTTTTGTTCTTCTTCATTAAAATCTGATTAGCACTCATCTGTAAGTTTACCGATCGCCGTTTTATCTTTCATTTGCTTTATGTTCGGTAACGCCATTTTTATCCTTGTGCAATAGATGATAAAAGATAATGAATCTCCAATTCAAAAGGATATATAAGTATTCTCTATTCCTAACATAAAGTATTATTCTTTGAAATGGATCTTTGCCATGATGAATCAGATGGTCACAATGAAATGATCACAAGTTCTGCAGCAGATACGCATTAAATAATAGCATTTATGTTGTTAGAGATTTTTGTTCTTCTTTATTTAAATCGAAATAATAAGGAATTCTAAATTAATGAAAGTTTTGAAAATTATGAAACAATAAGAATAAAGTGCGTTAATCTTCATTTTTTAAACGCTGTTTTTTTCTAGGTAAACCAGCAGAATGTGATTCAAGCTGCGTTAGTACTACTAACATTCAAGCCATAGTCGTAGGACTTGTTCTTGGATTCATTATCCTGTTACTACTGGTATATGCTGGTTACGTTACATTGTTGCTAAAACGGAAAGGCGGACGAAAAAGTGAGAAGATTATATTGATTAACAATAGTTTGCTTCAAAGTAATATATTGTTCAAATTGTAAATTTGTTTTTTATGTTACAGCATAATATAGCGATTCACATGTGCGTACGTGTGTGCGCGCGTGCGTGCGTGTGTGTTTTTATAAAAATTATATAGTGAGCTAAAAATCCTCGTAAAAAAACACTAGTCTTATTTAAACTACTGAACTTGGATTGTCTATTTGGTTGTTCAAAGAAATTGATTACATACATATCTGGTAGCGATGGCAACCAAAAGGAATAATAAGAAGAAAATACATTTCTTTTTAAGAATCACAACGCCTAAAGCATAGATATTTTGCCTAAGGCATTGTCTGGTGGACCTTCATTTATAGCGCTTAGGTCAAAATTGGCCCATCCCCGCGGTCATGTTTTTTTCTTTTGTGTGTATAGTTACATTTTGAAAAAATCTTATTATTCATTTTAATCAGTGCTTGAGCTTAGATATATAGCATGAAATGTTGTTTAGTTGACCTCAAGCAATTTTTCAAGCTATAACTGGCCCCGTACCGGGAGTAATGGTTTGTTTTTGTATAAATATCGTTATTACTTCAAATTTCTTCTCTTGGAAAACTGCAAGAGTTAGATCTTAGATATATAGCATGTAAATTTCCTAGCGAACCTGTAGCCCTAGTCGAAATGGCCATGGCCTGGGGAATAATGGGTTTTCCTTAAATACATTTAGTAAATCACTTTAAAGCCTATCTCCAAAACTTCAAAAGTTAAGATTACGATTTTTGGCCTTAAACATTTTCTTATTGACAATAACCATTTTTTTTATATAATGTTCTTGCCATCAAAATTGACCCGCCTCAGTGCAGAGGTGGAGGTGTGGTGGGGTTGGAGTCATGGGTTTTCTTTATACACATTTAGAAAATACTTTAATAATGTTTTAAATCACCTTGGATAAGAGCTTTGATATTTAGCATGACACATTATCTAGTGGACCTCTACACAAATTTATAATTAGATCGGCATTGTCTTCACCCCGGAGGTGATGGGTTTTCCCTATATACAGATAAGAATTATTTTTTGAAATCTTGTTCTGTACAATGAAAGGCAAGAGCGTATATATTTTGAATGAAACAATGTCTGGTGGACAGCTTCTTTAAATCTGAACATTCTATACATCTGCGCCTTGTCTTCGGTATATCATCCTAAAATATGGCCGTGACCTCCAAATTCCACACAAAGTTCTACTTCATATTACAAAGTTTCAATGTTTAGAAACAAAGAATGGTCTACTTCTGTTCCTACTATTAAGTGTTGTAATAATCCGGTGGGATAATATTATTAACAGATGCTATCTTGTTGGTTAACTCACTTTTGAAAGGTACTCGTATTAATGTCACAGATTGAAATTATTTGGTAATGGCAGCCGTGGCTTTCCATAGTTAGTTTAAGCGGAAACATCGTGCACGCGCGTTTTTATTCGGTTGCGTTTAGTTTTTATCGTATATAATACATTTAACTTCCGGTATTGAATCGGTGAAAATCGACAATTTTCGTCAATGACGTACATTGTCGATCTCACCCGTGCAATATCGTTAACACTGGTCACTCGTTCTTTGTTGTACTTGTTCAATTGTTTTGTTTGTTGTAAATTTTTCTATGTGAGAGAGATATCCATTTGTTCCTTAAATATTTTTTACTTCTGCGCACTGTTTGCTTTTCCTGTCCCGCTCACTCTTTACAGTCATCTCTTACGAGTCAGACCTTTAGTAACTAGTTAAATTTATTTAACATTAGATCTACTTCTTACTTTATATTTCAATTCTTATTGAAATAATTTGATAAGTAGAAATAGTATTAAGATTAAGATATTGATTGTATATCTTATTTATGTATTTTTGTATTTTCTTATTCCGCGTCGATTGTGTATAAATTGTTAATTCATGGTATTTTGCTTTTATATGATATGTATTGTATATGATATATAATTATTTTATAATCATTTTAGACCATTTTATTTGGATTCATTAAAATACCGAACCTACGTCCAGAGTTTGTTTCTGTGATCCCCAAAGCCAGAAATATTTTACCCTGCGACATTAATATTGATAATTTCATTTCAGATGAATATGCTTCATGCAGAGAAGTTAAGTAAGTTTCCGTTTGACATATAACTTCATTTTTAAAATGTTCTGTTTTAGTAGATGCATTTTTTAAAACCGATGGGCATATCACTTCGAGATAATTTTCTACCGACCTTCATGTATTTAGCACGTTTTCTAAATTGCATTACAAAGTTGTAAGGGGGGTTTATTGGAATCACTGAAAAAGTCGGCCAAGATGTAACATAAATTATTTAGAATAGCGGCAAATCGCACGACCATGGGGATGGTTAAAACAATGTAGCTGTCTATTATATCAATAGTGTGTGAAATAATAATTTGTTTGTCCCGTAATCTGATTGACATATTACATGTAATAGTAAGAGCATCGAAACACGAGGCTATCTGATTTGTACGAGAAGGGCGTAGCCCATGAGTATAAATCAGATTGCCGAGTGTTTTGATGTTCTTTCTCTTTTGTATCATTGACAAAAATAAAAACACGTTCCCTGTTGTCCCAGTATGAAACCCCAGAAAAAGAAACTAATGGACGAACATCTATAGTAGTATAGGGGCCGGTTTACCCCCACGACTGCGCATGCGCGGCGCCATATTGGATTCTATTTTTAGAATGACATCATCGTTCTATTTTTAGAATGACATTATCTGTCTATTTTTAGAATGACATCATCGTTTTATTTTTAATCTCCCGGAAGTATACGGAGCTGACTTGTATACCCGATCTAGGGCGTGAATCGCGGACATTGAGGGTCAGGTCCTCGGCCCCAAGACGCGGGAGATAAAATTAGTATCCAAGCTTTTAAAATTGAATGGCAAAAATAATGATTCCCTTTGTTTTATATTTCCCACACTGCGTACAGTGTACTTGATAACTGATTTAATTATTACTTTAATCAATGTTCTCTATAATACACGTTTAATTCAACTCAAATAACTAACATTTAAATGTATTTCTTCATATTTTAAATATTCACCCTTAATACATAATTTATCTTAACATTTTCAAAAATAAGGTTATTAACATTTATTTTTAAGTATTTCTTTATAAACATTTAATAAAAATATTACCTCTTTACCCCTTAAGCTCCAGCAACGAAATGACTCCAATATTAAAAGTACTAATCCCTTAACGGCGCATGCTTGGATCTGATGACGTCACCAATGCAATAAAACAAGCTCCAACATGTCGCCGCGTCTATTTATTTATGGCCGACTGGGCGGACAATTCAAAAGTAAAACATGTCAAATTTGATCCTTTTAAGTCGCCGCACTGTCTGGCGAGTGTTTTATTTTAGGGACGATACATTAACAATGGTCTATTCAAGTGCCAAGGCTAGCTTGTTTACATTATTTGGCGTGTGTAGATTTAAGAGCAGATGTGCGGACAAAGGCCCATTCAACTGTCAAAATTAATCCCATTGAAGTCACCACAAGGTTTGGCGTCTTATTTATTTAGAGAAGAATACTTTAATAATGGTCTATTCATGTGCCAAGGCTAGCTTGTTTACATTATTTGGCATGTGTTGATTTAAATTCGGAAGAGTTAACAAAGGTCCATTTAACTATTAAAATGAATCTCTTTAAAGTTGCCACTTGGTCTGGCGTATGTTTATTTAGGAACGGATATGCGGACAATGCTCCATTCAAAAGTTTATCCGTCTAAAGTAAAAGCGGGTTAGCAATAAGCTATTGTAGTGTCAGTTTACCACTGGGGTATAATTTTAAACTCATTTTGGAAAAGAAATGCCAACATGTTTTTAAAACTGATCACCACATAAAAAAAACAACTTTTATCAATGGTCACTAAAACCGAACAAAAATACAACAGAAAAAGCGTTTTTCGTCTTTTGTGCAACATTTTACGATATACATTTTGATTTTTTTCGCATAAAATGGTAGACCTGACAGAATGCTTCGAAATAAACCCAAGAATCTCGATTCGATTTTTAGGCGTTCTCGAGTTATGGCCCTTTATCGATTTTTAAACTATTTTTTAAAAGTCCATAAAACCGTTAGATTTATATGCCGTTTGAAAGATCTCTGCGAGTAGATACAGAAAATGTATTATTATATGGATCTATCTCTTACCGTTTTTGAGATAGGAGAGTTTGAATATGGCAAACAAAATCACTCATGCGGAAAAACGCGCATAACTTTTTCGTTTATGAACGAAACATAGTCGTGTTTGGTATCAAACGAAAGGTCTTGACAAATGCTACGAGCTCGTACTGTTAAACCGAGAGTGAAATCACTCATGCGTAAAAAACATTAAAATAATTAAATAAGCTTACCCCAGTCTTTACTCCTCGCCTATCAAACTATTTATGACAATTTACGACAGGTTTAAACCGGTATTGCTATTTTTGATCAGCCAATGAAATTGAAAAACGATGACGTCTAACAATAGACAGCCTCGTTTTGAACCCACTCTTTTTCATTAACCAATGAAAAGTGGAGAAGGATAACTGGATAAATTTTGACATAAAAAACGCCTTTTTTGTCTTTTATGCAACACTTTACGATATCGATTTTCAAGATATTTGTGTCATTTGATAGACCTTACCAAATGCTTCAAAATAAACCCTAGGTTCTCGATTCTATTTTAAGCCGTTCTCGAGTTATGGCCCTTTAGCGATTTTTAAACCAATTTTTCAAAGTCCATAAAACCGTGAAATGTATATACCGTTTGAAAGATCTCTGCGAGTAGATACAGAAAATGTATTATTATATGGATCTATTTCTTACCGTTTCTGAGATAGGAGAGTTTGAATATGGCAGACAAAATCACTCATGCGGAAAAACGCGCATAACTTTTTCGTTTATGAACGAAACATAGTCGTGTTTGGTATCAAATTGAAGGTCTTGACGAGTACATTTTACTTACGCGATCAAACCGGATGTTAAGTCACTCGTGCGTGAAATTCATTTATTCTCCCCAACCAACGGACCGATCTTATCAATACCTGTATCGAACGAAAGGTATTACTCACTAAATTCAGAAAATGTATATTTTTGTATCGCTGACTCGGATAGGACACGAGATATGAAGTAAAATCACTCAAGAACAGGGTATTATTTGAAACCGGACAAATTATTTAACCTGGAATTCAAGTTTTTTCCCCTTTTCTTTCACTATAGTTCATATGTCTCATATAAATATGGTAAATGCTCATAAGTATTGCAGTTCTTGTTGTTCAGTGGAATATATACATTTTAATAGAAATATTTTTATTTTCTATCCAAGTGCTCTGTTATTCTTTTTAAGGCAAAATTTTTTATATAGCCGGAACGAGTGAAATATGTTAAACTAAGGTGTTTGCCAAACATGTTACACTTACATGTATGAGTCAAACACGTTTCACTAACCTGGATGAGTCAGGCCTGTTTTCTAAAATGTTGCACTTACATGTGTGAGTCAAACACGTTTCACTAACCTGGATGAGTCAGGCCTGTTTTCTAAAATGTTGCACTAACATGTGTGAGTCAAACACGTTTCACTAACCTGGTTGAGACATTCTTGTTTTCTAAAATGTTGCACTAACATGTGTGAGTCAAACACGTTTCACTAACCCGGTCGAGACAGGCATGTTTTCATACATTTTGCACTAACCTGTGTGAGTCAGGCATGTTTTCATACATGTTGCACTAACCTGTGTGAGTCAAACACGTTTCACTAACCTGTTTAGTAAGACATTTTCGCTCACTTTGATTAGTTAACAAGGCTTTAGTCTAAGCTTCTGTATGAACACTTCATATATTGTTTATTCGAATGTTTCAGCAAACTGGTATAACAAATTTCGTCTAACTTTATAATTATGACCAGAACAATACCTGTATGACATCTAATTGTTATACACATGACCTAAAAAAATCATAAACAATCATCTGTCACAACTCATGATTGACACCTTTTTGACATGTATTCTCATATATGTTAACAATTCATCTGATAAATATGAGACTTGTCATGACAAAACCAACGTAATGCGTTTGCAACCAGCATGGATCCAGACCAGCCTGCGCATCCACGCAGTCTGATCAGGATCCATGCTGTTCGCTTACAAACCCTATAACAAGTAGAGAAACTTATAGTGAACAGCAGATGCGCAGGCTGGTCTGGATTCATGCTGGTCTCAAACCCACTATGTTGGTATTGTCATGACGTGGCTCATATACTGTAACGGGTCGCAAATATATAACACTCTAAACGAACTGGATTTCCCTATCGGGAACCCCATTGAGATCTACCGTTAAGACCCAATGACGTTTTATAAATTTCCAGTAATTTACGATTACGCCCAGAAAATAGTTCCTTCACATCATGATGTTTTATTTTACATAAAGGTTTTTTTCCGCCTCATAATTGTTGCTTTCAGAAACATTACATTAAATTGCAAATAGAGATTTAAATAATTAATATAGTATCAATAATTAATAATAAGAACAGAATTCAAATTTATTTACTGGTTACACTCTTCATGTAACCAATCTAAGCATAATCCATTAACGGAAGTGGAACCAGTTCCAACGGAAAGAGGATGCGATCAGGACGAATGGCGGGTTTAAAAAATATCAAAAAGATCCGTGTAATCTAATAACAAATTGCATGAATGGAAGTTTTAAAAGGATTTAAATCAACATAAAGGTAACAAGCTTCATTTCTTCCTTATTATTTTTTAACTATTTACTCATGTTCAGATTTTTCGTCGAATGGTCCGATTTGCATGATATTGTAAAAATTATTGTATTTTTTTTTATTATTTCAATAAGACACAAGCAAAGCTAACTGTGAACGCTCATTATTATATTTTTACTATCACATTCATGAAAATTAAATGCGCTTAAAATGCACCTGAAGCGACAATTTATTCAACACGTACATTTCATTTTTTCCTTGGAAGTTTGAGAGGAACCCCAGATCCCAAAGTCAAAAAATGACTATCAGCTTAGTTTAGTATAAAATGTCAACAAGTTACTGCCGGATTTTCCATTCCAAAGTATCAACAACAAAACAATGTAACTTTCCACATTAATTTTATTGTGGAAAAATATTCATTGCAATATTTCTTTCATATGCAATTGTTGATCATTAAACAGTTTAACACATTTCAACATGTTGGAATTAAATAATGTAATTACATTATCAAAATATACTTAATCAGGTGTAGGATTTCATGATATTTACGGACAGTTTTTAAATATTTGAACCAAACCATAATTTTATATTATTATTTTATCTGTAAATTTAAAGACATAAGATAAGACATTATTAGAGTTGGCATTAAAATACAAAACAGCAGGTTTAAATGAATAAGTCTACGTATTATTTGATTAAATGTATCAATATACTATGGAAAATTCAGAACAATAATTTTATGATTTTCAATATTTAACAAAAATTTCAAAATCATCATACAAAGGTGTAACTCACTCGATTACCTTTGTAGATATAATAAATCAATAAAGCATCTTGTTTTAAGCTGCGGATTTTAGTATGAAAATAAAGCACCAAATTCCACATTGAATGTCTGTAAATTTATGGATTGAAAAATCTTAAAATTTCTACTCTGTCTATAAATTTGCGGACAGTCCATAAATATCATGAAATCCTAGACCTGTTAATCATGATAAATTGAATATATGGCTGTTGTCATGATGGAGAAAGTTCTATGAGAATCTATCTGGTTTGCTCCAAAAGATAATAAATAAAAACAAACTTTTCTTAATTTTCGATGTAAAAATGTTCATAATTATAAATAGAATGATAGAAAATGTTACAAACTCAACTGTAATAAATTCAATACTATCAAACGATAATAAACAAAGAAAAGTGCAAATAATCAGTATGCAACAGACATTAACACTGATTAATTTACTTTGCAAGCTAGCATCACATTACATTCATTTCTTTATAACTTCATTTGATAAGACAATCTTTGTTTATAGTTGGTTACTAAAAAACATAATATTAAAAACATTAGCTAAATAAGCTATTTTCTGACATAACAGACTATCCTTTTAAGTTTAACAATGCAAACAAACAAACTATATAAATGAAAAATTATAATATTAAAGGATTAAGAAGGTCAATGTATATTTATGAGTGAATCTGTCAAACAAATTAGATGTTTATAATAGGGCTGCCATTGGAAATCGTATCATCAATATTCATCATCCGATATAATATCGGTACACATTTTCTGATATCGATACAAGCTAAATTTATTTATTCCTTTTAGTAAATATGTTACTCTAAATTTTGCCTAATATTTACAGTTTTATAGGCTAACTTGAACTTTAAACTCTGTTTTTAAATGTCATTTACAAAACAACACAAAAAAGAAACTTTCTGTTAGTTTGTAGTATTTGTAGTCTTAATACAATCATGCATAACTCCATGATCCCAATTTATAACACATATTTAAAAAAATTTCATTGTATCTACTGTTAAAGTTCATATATCGATGTATGGTCGATACTTGTCTCTCGATATATCTATACAAAATTGTCTGTCAATGGCAGCCCTAATTTATAATAACATATTCAGTAGTAAGGATAAGATAATATTAAAAGCAAATATCACACTACAAGCACAGGGCTGCAGATAACATTTTGTGTATATTGAGTTATTACCCCTTGTTTTGTGATTTCTTTGGGTTTTTTTTTCTATTTTCTTAAGAGTTATTTCTGTATTTTTCACCATACCTTCTTAAACCAATTTGGGTTATAAAGCACGAGTTCATGTATTTTACCCAAAACTTTCTGACCTTCATTGTAGACCAATTTGCATTGTAGACTGTTGTAGGTAATAAAAAAGCTACCTCCTAATATGCTTTATTGTTTATTTGCTTAGGAGATTTCCAAGCTGCCTGATATAATTTAAAGGTTGAAACAGTATGATCTGCCTGATGTATGGCTTTAACCTTTTCCCTTATAGAAGCGAGAATCGCCGTCTTTTACCATTCCCTGATAGAAGCGAGAATCGACGGCTTTATCGATTACCGCATGTAAGCGAGAATCGCCGACATGCGTGATCTCAATGGAAGCGGCTTTCGCCGACTTCAATATTTACCTGTCCAAAAATCAACAATTTTCCCGGAAATCAGACCTGTAAATTGTGTTATCGTAAAGATCAACATTTCATGAGGGGATTCCGTGCATAAAATTATGGTGTTACTATTTAAAGTTTTTGTATAATTAGCGACCAACCAGGTGAGGGGTTTTCCTTACGTCACGCAGTTAATGAGTGCGCGGGTCAATGAAATTAATATATAGAAGGAATCGTAAGATCATGAACAAAAGTGTCTAAAAATAGCAACTAATGAATAAATAGTATTTATATGATCACGGGTCGTTCACGTGCCAGCATGGTGTGATGAATTTGATGTTTGTTTTGGTTTATGACAGCTGACGTGTGTATATACACGGATTAACTAACACCCTGACTAGGGGTATCTCTCTGGCCCCTGCAATAAAATATTTCCGGGAGCGGCGGCGATTTTTTTAAGAAAATGACCGACAAAGAAATATTTCAAAGTTTAAATTCTTTCATGTGCGCTATTGTTTTCATAACAGACGCAGCATGGGGCCGTGTATTACACGATATGATAAAATCATATCCCATATATCATCTTTGAAGTCGGCAACATGAAAATGCCGAAAAAGGCCGTGGAACTGCAGGATGTCTTTCCCTTATCATCATTTGATCTAAATTAGATCTATAAATAATAAAATTTAATTAAAATTGACCAGTTCGTTCGAGAACATCAGCGCTATTATATCGTTAATTAGTCTCATTAGTACGCTAATTACACTTATTAGATTATGTCTTCGATGGCTGATTTTAATTTTGATTCTGATGATGACTCTGATTTTTCTGGATTTGGGCCGTCTGATATTGATTTAAGTTCGTCTGATTCGTCGTCCGACGACGACGATAATGTTGCCGATGCTGGAGCCTCAACTTGGACAAATCGTCTGCTACCGCCTAGGGTACATATATACTTATATTTGACAGCCATATAATAAAGTATATTGCCAAAATACAAAAAACAAAAACTTCTCTCATTGTCAGAATTTTATTTCTAATTACAATAGAATAAAAAAGAGACAACAATACAAATATACAGAAGCATTTATTTTATTACAAAAAAAAACATAAGTAAAAATAAATAAAAATAAAATAATAATAAACAAACAACACCCCCCCCCCCCAAAAAAAAAAAGAAAAAAAAGAAAAGAAAAAAAAGAAATTGTGTTGAAAAAAAACTAATTTTTTTTTAATTATTTTCCAGGTTGAAGACTTTGTTGGAGAGCCTGGGCCGAACCTCCCTGATGATTTTGATGTCAGCACAGCCTCACCGTTAGACTTCTTCAAGTTGGTTTTTCCCGTGAGCTTGATCACCTACCTGGTAGACATGACCAGCCTGTATGCCAACTGGAGGCAGGCCCAACCTGGGGTTGACCTGGATGACAGATGGGAAGAGACCACTGAGGCAGAGATGCGAGCATTCCTAGCCATCAACATCCTACCAACTTTGGAGATGTATTGGTCTAAGAAGATGCTCATCGGGAATGTAGGTGTCCAGCAGATCATGACATGCAACCGGTTCCAGAAGCTTTCCAAGTACTTCCATGCATCAGACAGAACCGGTGACCGTCCACGTGGCCATCCAGACTACGACCGCCTCTACAAGGTACGGCATGTCATGAGGACCCTGTCAACAACCTTCCGAGAAATGTGGACACTGTCACGAGAAGCCACGGTAGATGAGGCCATGATCGCATTCACTGGTAGGTTGTCCTACAAGCAGTACATGCCAGCCAAGCCGATCAAGCGGGGGATCAAGCTCTGGATGCTGTGCGACGCCAGAACTGCCTATGTCCATCGTTTCGAGGTGTACCTTGGCAGACAGGAGAACAGGCCAGAACATGGACTTGGGTTCAACGTAGTCACCACTCTTACAGATCATCTCCAGCACACCCACAGGTGGATCTTCTTTGACAACTTTTTCACGTCTATTGAGTTGATGAAGCGTCTCCTTGAAGATGGCCTCTACGCCTGTGGGACTGTGAGGGTGAACAGGAAAGGTTTTCCGTCCGAGCTGAAGAAACCTACAGACATGCGTGACAGGGGATCCTACAAGTCGCTTCAGTGCCAGGGCTTGACAGCAACTGTTTGGAAGGACAAGCGACTGGTCCACCATCTTTCAACAGTTGGGGATCCAACCACAGTGGTTATGGCTACACGACATGCTGGACCTCGTGCAGAACAGTACACGCAGCCAGAGCCGACTTCCCTCTACAACAAGTTTATGGGAGGAGTTGATCGCCATGATGCTCGACGTGCCAAGTATGGTGTAGGTCGACCTGGGAAGAAAGCCTGGAGGTACTTGTTCTGGTTCCTTCTGAACAGTGCCATCGTCAACGCTTATGTCATCTACAAGAAAGCGTCCACCAGATCGCACTCCAAGAAGAGGTTTGAGCACCTGGACTTCCGAATTGAATTGATCGAGGAGCTTATTGCCGGATTTGCCAAGCGAAAGCGAGGACCTGGGGATCGGGCAGCTTTGGTAGGACTGGTTGACCAGGAAAACCAGCACCTACATAGGAACGAGCGGATGCCAGGTGATAAGGGTGCCAGGTGCCGATACCACAGGGCGTATCTCAACAAGAGGAAAGAGACTGTATATGGATGCCGCATCTGTAATGTCCACCTCTGCAAAGATGGCTGCCATGCGAGGTACCACGAACTCAGCCAAGATCAGTGAGATGGTTTTTTATAGTGAGATATCGACTGGAACTGTTTTATGGACTATGATAATGATTATGGATAAATTTCAGGATTTTGATCAGTGATAACAACTTGAACTGTTTTATGGACATCGATTATGATTACGGACAATTTTGTGGGGGGTGGGGCGGGCCATGATAAGAGCGCCTCCTCGTGGTGTGGCCTGGATATGGCTGGATAATTTCCTTTATTCTTTCATCTTTGCTTTTCATCTGAAAAAAATAAAAATAAATAAATAAAAATAAATTGATAAATAAACATTACAAATTATCCAGCCATAACTGAACGCTCTTACTTTTGTATGTTTATAAATAATAAAATGAAAAATAGATAAATAAATGTGAAAAAAAATGTTTTTTACAAAATTGTTTAAGTTATTTTCAGGGAATGAATACATACCATATTATATTCATGAAGAAAATATATGACCATGACAGCAGAAATTCTGAAACATTTCATTCAACAGTTATATACATGTATTACAGAAATGACAGTTACTTTTATGAAATAAATTATAAAAAAAATAATAATAAAATGAATAAAAAAAAGCATGAGATTTCTTTTTACTGGTATAAAAAAAGGAACTTGTTGTTATTTATTTCACTAATAATTAATGCTGCATAAACCAAAACAAACAAAAACTCATCATTTTTGGGGGAAAAAAAATAAAAACCTGTACCCTTACACAAAAAAAGTCAAGATGGGTATCCTATAAGCCTTTTTTGCCAAGTTATGAAACATAAAAAATTAATAATAAATTAGCCATATTTCCCTAACCCCTTTAAAAGAGACAGAAAAATTATACATCATTTTATTGTTTATAACTACTGTAATTATACTGTTATAAAGCCCATAAATATAAAATTTATACCACTGGAAAGATAATTCAATTTTCTACAAATCTTACATTGACATATATATTGTCAAAGTTGTTATTAAACCACTTTACATCAGTTAAAACACACAAGTAGCCTACTTTTTCTGAAAAATGGAGAAAAAAGCACCATCAATTATATAGTTTATTACTTTATAACTCATGTTGACATATTTGTATAAATCCAACAAATATGATATTTATACCATTGGAAAGGTATTTCAATTCTCTACAAACTTTTTATTGATACAAAAATTGTCAAAACACAACTTAATGCTTTATTTTCCAGTTAAAGTATATAGGTATCTAATTTGACCAATTTTACCTATATTTTATCATACCCTATATGGAGATAGTGTGTGACTCCTTATCAGTAGGATATTGATTATTGATTATCTATCTGGCTACTGTATTATGGGATGTAAAGCAGTAAATTAAGGGGGCTGTATAAGGGAAAAGGTTAAGTATAATTTACCTCATTACACACTAGTTCTGCTTCAAATGTAGTTTGCATAAGTAAGAATTTATTTACATTTTCTTACCTTTAGATATTATTTCTATTACGTTTTTTGACATTTTAATTGCGTAATAAAGCAAATACGCACGTTATATGCAGCCCTGCAAGCAAATATCACACTACAAGCAAATATCACACTACAAGCAAATATCACAGAATATTACATCTAGAATTCAGTATACTGCTTGAGCATACATGAGTAGCCGCATCTGATACATACTTGACCATGATAATATATATAAATAAAAATGTACATTCATAAAAATAGAATGTAGCAGTTACTGATTTTAGCTGGCCTAAGCCACCGGAGATTGACATTCCATCAATAATTAAAAAATATTTTATATAAGCAAATAATTAAAAAATAACGGCAAATATACCCCATATACTATAAATAAACACAATTAATGCAACGCCTTTTGCACACTTGATACACATTTTATCTAATTTCACACATGGAAAATCAATGTAAACAAACTAGTTTAACAATTTTGATACACAGTGCAAAGTTATTCCTTTTACGGTAAAATGTCAACAAACTGGTTTAACAATTTTGATACACAATGCAAAATTATTCCTTTTACGACCGCTGATATTTCAAATCAAAGCATTTTATATTAATAAATTACTGAAAATTAATAAATTTACTAAAATGTCAACTAAATTTTTTGTCTGGCACTGAAAAATACGGGTACTGATTTGATATGGGAACTGCTGACATGCCAGTAGACATCTAAAGTTTTATTAAATAAATACAAAGTATATAGATTATTTTGTCTGACAGAGCTCCAGTTAATTTTTTGGCTTATGACTTTTTACCCTTCAAAATTTAGAATAAAAACCAAGTTTAACTACATGAGTGGTATTGTAACAGAGCTCCAGATAACTAGCTAGTTCGCCTTGGTACAACCACTGACATTCTGTAATCTAGATAATTCACCTTGGTGCAGCCATTGACATTCTGTGGTATTGTAACCAGTTCATTTTGTTCTTTTAGTGTTTCGCACCTAAACATTAGTTATGTACAATTATGATAATCAATTTTTTCAACCTTAAGTAGCAAAAATAATAAAATTAAATAATACATGTTTTTTTAAAGTTTATATTATGCATAAGTTTCATGTAAAGAAATTCCTGGAATGAATTCTTTTGCATTGTATGTTATTTAAAATTCCAAATTTGAGATAAACCATTCTCCAATCCGTATGTTACACGTAACCGGTTCCTTAAACTAAGGCAAAAACCAGGTTACCTCCCTTCTTTACTTCCTGCTACTTTCATTTTAAACCTGCGTTGACAACAGAATATTATAATTTACTTTTAAATGCAATAACATACAAATGTATTGTATATTTATGTTTAAAAAATCCCCTATTTAAAAATCAAATGTTTAACTTTATACTTCATTCCTTCATGCTTGTGTATTGATATACATGAATATTTTTATTTTGTTCAGCATAACTTTGACACATGAGCTCTGAAAGTGATGCTTATTTCAGATTTTCTGTGTGTACACAATAGCCATATTATTTGCAATTAACAATAAGGAAGTCTAAATAATTTGATTAAATTTTCAACGTCAATCTATTTTCAAGTTTTTCTTGTAAATAAAGTTCTAAATCCTCCCTAAATAGGAGATTATAATAATCTTACACTGGCTGCCGGTACAGACAGGAATATCTAGCTCGATGATAACTGTTTACGGCTGTAACAATGCTTTGTTGAGTTTCCCCTAAACAGTTACCCGAGAGCTAGATTTTCTTTTCAGTACCGACAACCAGTGTTTGTTTCTTTTATCTTGCATAATAAATGCCATTTAATTTCGGAACAGAAATTACGAAAAACTGATATTTTCAGTTATGTTTATTTCATTATGAATGCGTATGAACTGACAAACTTCATTTATAACGTTAAAATGATGTCATCCTTTGAACGCTTTACATTCATAAAAGGCGTTTGACAATGATGTCAATAAAAGCACGCGATTTGTCCTACGTGTACAGCGTTTTTTCTCTACTTTGGGAATGGTGCCGGTACCAGACTGATTGGGAAAAAATGCGTTATTTTGACTAAAATTGGGAATTTTTTTTAATGCATTTTTTCAGCTACAAATGAGATTAACATCATTAATAAAGATAGCTAACAGCTTCTACTATTGAGTGGTGATTTATATGAATATGTTGGATTTAAATGATCTTAGAAAAATCACTTGGCCTTGTGGGCATTTTGAACAGCCATTTTGGGAATTTAACATTGGAAATTGGGAATTTTAATGTCTATTTTTTGTTGGGAATGGTACCGTTTTAGGGTAGTAGTTGTATAAAGAAAAAAAACACTGGTGTAAGTCAGGGTATTCTAGCAGTACCCAAATGGTACACAATCCTGTCTGATATGGAAAAAAAATAACCCCCCTAAAAGAATGCTATTGGCATATTCGTGTAAATAATGTAAATAGCAATAAGAAAAAGAAATGATTTTACATTTTTGGTAATTTTCTGTAATTATTTCCAACATTTCACATTGAATACCTTTTTTAAATAGTTTGAGACACAATGGTTTTCTGCATGAATATAGGCCAGGAGGACATTCGAGTTTTTTTATTTGTCCCAGTATAGGATTTATTTTCCTCAAGTGGTTTGAAAATAAATAGTGCATTTGTGGTTGTAGCCACGAGATTGATGATTTCTATACCACAAGATGAAAATTTATCCTATATTTATAAAACAAACTTTTTTACTTTATACTTTTATCACATATAACTGTGGCCCAGGAGTGTAATAAAGCCATTTATTATATTACGATATTACGCTAGTACATATTATAGCACTGGCATGACATCATTGCGCTATATATATACATTGCGTGAGAGCACCCTAATGTTATCGTTACACTGTAGGTGCATCATGGGAATATGAATCTTTTTAACCGTTTACTGTTATTTTATATATGTAATGAATAGTATATTATATTCATGTAGATTCAATATTAAATTTATTAAACTCGTTAAATAAAACAATATTATGCTCGCCAGATAATCACATATGATTTAATTCGAACTCTTTCAATAAATTTAGTATTAAATCTACACTCATTTCACATCCTTTATTTTTTATTTTTATTTTTTATTACATTTTGAAAGAAATACCCTTAAATTTTGGCAGAATTTGAAAGAAAGTAGTCAGGCAAGTAACCATTAAAAATACACAATATATGCAATTTAATATAATAAATAACTATTGCTGTTCTGAATTTAGGCAACTGATGTAGCAATGAGACATGTGAATGCTGCAACATGATGATAAGGATTCAAGGAAGGAAACAAATCAGGCACATTTTAGGATATCAGGTAAGACATGATGTAAAAAAAAATTTAATTTTTTAAAAAAATGGAAGTTTTATATCCTGATCGCCAATACACAAAATTTAAGGGAATTTCTTTCAAAATACATATTCATATTTTTTATTCTTCCGATAAAGTTTCTTTTTTCATAGTAATTCTTATTTTCTCCTTTGTGCTTGTGATTATTTTTTCGATTTTACTGTTATTGACTTCTTTTCCGTTGATGGTTACTCTTACATCAATCTGTATATCCTCTATTGTCTTGTTAGCAATGATGTCTTTGATCATTAAAAAAATTCTGTTCGGCACTTTTCCCATTGATATGTTCTCATCTGAAAAGTAATTTTTCCCTTTAATAGTGAAATCAGAAAAATGAAAATAAATCAATTAAAGAACCTTTAAAGCTAGGTGAGAATCGTTCAGTAAGAAAATGATACATTGTTTATCAATTAGGCCATCCTAAAAAAATTTATGTTTGCAGTAACGCGACCGACTCACTAAATTTGCCCCTGCTCAAATTTCTTTTCATGGTTTTGAAAAAAAAAATTTTTTTTTTGAATCACAAAATTATGCCTTCTGCTTTGTTTTAGTTCTTTTAAAAGTTAATAGAAGAAATAAAATGTAGTTCTTATTAAATAAGAATTCAGTTATCAATTTATTAATTGTTATCAGATTATCAAAGCATATTTTGTCCAACATTTTGAAATTCCATGTTTATTGGGAGAGTACAGTTCAATAAAAAAATAATAAAAAAAAACCGACCTACCTACCCACCTTGAAAATTCTTGGTTGGGTTACTGCAAACAAGCATTTTTTTAAGGATGGCCTTATATTTGCTTTTTAGCTCATCTCAGTATGAGTTTTTACATTGATTGGTCATCTTGGATGTAAAATTAGGTCATATGAGCTAAAAATAGATAAATAGAGGATATTGTTTAGTTCAGTGTAAGATCAGAATATATTTCACCGAATGAGCACCAAAAGGTATATTTCACGAGTGGCGCAGCCAGGAGTGAAATATGAACTTTTGGTGTTCACAAGTGATTGTTTGCATTCATTTAATCACTGCAAAATTTCAGTCATGTATTTTTTCCCCAATTTTTAACAAAACACTGAAATTCCCAATTCCATGGGTATGGGTCATGTTCCCAAAATCCTGGAAAATTTCAGATTAAAGTTTTGGTGCAGTAAAATATTTTTCACTATAACTTTGTCATTTCTTAAGGTATCAACTTCAAACTTCAAATATATGTTCCTTATCATCAACCACATCTTATGTGACAAGGTTCATAACTCTAGCACCAATATTTTTAGATTTATCTCTCCTTGAACTTAGAATTTTCCTTAAAAAATGCTATTTTTTACTGTTACTTCTTTATTTCTTAAGGGATCAACCTCATACTTCACATATATGTACCTTATCATCATCCCCATCTTATGTGACAAGGTTCATAACTCTAGCACCAATATCTTTAGATTTATCTCCCTTTGAACTTAGAATTTTCCTCAAAAAGTACTATTTCTTACTGTTTCTTCTTTATTTGTTAAGGGATCAACCTCATACTTCAAATATATTTACGTTATCATCATCCCCATCTTATGTGACAAGGTTCATAACTCTAGCACAAATATTTTCAGATTTATCTCCCTTTGAACTTAGAATTTTCCATAAAAATTTTTATTTTTTACTGTTACTTATTTATTTCTTAAGGGATCAACTTCATACTTCAAATATATTTACATTATCATCATCCACATCTTATGTGACAAGGTTCATAACACTAGCACCAATATTGCAAGAATTATCTCCCCATAAACTTAGATTTTTTTACTAGAAAAATGTTATTTTTTGATTATAACTTTTTTATTTTTAAAGGTATCTGCCTCAAACTTCAAATACTCATTCCTTATCATCAATTACATTTTATGTGACAATGTTCATAACTCTTGAAGCAATAGTTACACATTTATCTCTCTTTGAACTTAGGATTATTTTTAAGAAATATAATAACTTCTTTACTTTTTAAGGTATCTACTTCAAACTTCAAATATATATTTCTTATCATTACTCAAATGTTGTGTGACATGGTCCATAACTCTAGCATTATTTCTAGAATTTTTCCCCTTGATCTTGGAATTTATGTTAACAAATATTATTTTTTACTATAACTTAATACATAATTATACATAATTGATTTTTCTTTCATAGTTTTGTCCTCCTTACTGCGTCCAGTATTTTATTAGTCGAGCTTAGCTGTCTCCTGTGACAGCTCTTGTTTTGTTTACTGCCTGCATATTGCATTTGGGATAATTTCATTGTAGATATGCAATCTTCTGTCATATTTGTAATCTTCAATAGTGTTTTTTTTTCCAGGATGTGTAGTTTGTTATCATAATTGCTTGTAGGACATTGGAGGATTAACTGTGGAGTGTAACATTATTGCTGTGATTCGTCAGGTGAGGTATCTAGGGCTAATATGGCCCTCTTGTATGTAGAAGAAATTGTTTGAAAATGTCATGAACTTACAAGTCGGTAACCGTGGTTGACAATTCCATGATCTGAATAAATGCAATGGAACATTGTTCTTTTGAATTAAATTTATTATATGTATGCCAATTATACTGGATTTTTTGGATCAATTCTGTTCCTAACATTTTAATTTTGAAGTATTGACTTTTAGTCTGTCTGTCCGTACAAGGTTAACCTAGAAAGGCAAGTTGGATTTTTCTTAAGTTCTACCTGTACCAATGGCTTCTTAGTTTACACACTTGCTAATCAATACAAAGTCAAGTTACTCAACTATGGCTTCGATATTTACCAAGTTATTGCTCTTTTCAGCACTTAGGAAATGAATAATGGTTAACATTAAACGGCAAGTTGGAAATATCTTAAGTTCTATCTATACTAATGGCTTTATAATTTCCACACTTACTTATCAATACAAACTTGAAAAGTACATGATATGCAACTGTGTCATCCATATTTCCTACAGCCGTTATTTATTGACAGATATATTTTATATTTAGTAGGAAGATAACTTGCATGTTATTCTTACTTTGGATGGAGTTAGGGGTCAGTTGGGTCAAGTTCACAAGTGCTAAAAATATATTGTTACACTTTTGCCCATTCAGCCTTTATTTATTGACAGATTTATTTCATATTTTGTTGGAAGATAACTTGCATTGTATTCTTCCTTTTGGTGGAGTTAGGGGTCATTTTTATCAAGGTCATCAATGCTCAAAATAGATTTTAACATTTTTGCGCATACAGGCTTTATTTATTGACAGGTGTATTTCATATTTGGTAGGAAGATAACTTGCATGATATTCTATAGGTGTCAGTGGGTCAAGGTCAAGGGTGCCAAGTATAGATTTCTTACATTTGTATATATTTGATAAACTTGAATATTTATCACTTCATAAGTCATAGCAATGACTTGGCAACTTATATATTTCACAATAACAAATGCCATGACTCTGTCAAGCTATATATCTTGTATTTACAATGATTTGGCGAAGTTTCTGTCCAAAACTGAGTGAATTGGTAATGACTTTTTGAAATATTGCTACTTACAAGAATCGGAGCCGGGGGCATTTGTGTTTAACAAACAAGTTTTTGTTTATATATAGGAATACACCTGTAGATGGAAAGGCTTGTTTGTACCTGGAAGAATTGGATGAAAGATTCAAATATTTAAGAAAAATCACAGTAAGCTAAAATTATTTTCTTTTTTTAATGGTTCGACTCTGCATATTGTAAAACATACCTGCATATTCATTAAGTTTTGCACACTCCTCCTCATATAAATTGTATACCTCCTCTATTGTAATCCCTGCTTCCTGCGCCAATAATTGATGTAAAACTCGCTGTCTCTTTTTTATTGTTGCAATCTTTGCCTTATAAACAGAAGAATACATTGAAATATTTTTTTTTGAGAAATAGTGTGAAAACTTTTGGTTATAAATTTGACCGAGGTATTTTAATTAGACATAATTGGAAAGCTTGGACACACAAAAAAAATAATAAATTATTTCATGTTTTTTTAGCTCCACTATACAAAGTATATAAAGAGCTGTCCTACTCGTCCCCGGCGTCCGCGTCCAGATTTCAGATTAAAGTTTGGTGCAGTTAAATATTTTTCACTATAACTTTGTCATTTCTTAAGGTATCAACTTCAAATATATGTTCCTTATCATCAACCACATCTTATGTGACAAGGTTCATAACTCTAGCACCAATATTTTCAAATTTATCTCCCCTTGAACTTAGAATTTTCCTCAAAAAAATACTATTTTTTACTGTTACTTCTTTATTTGTTAAGGGATCAACCTCATACTTCAAATATATGTACCTTATCATCATCCCCATCTTATGTGACAAGGTTCATAACTTTAACACCAATATTTTCAGATTTATCTCCCCTTTAACTTAGAATTTTCATTAGAAAATATTATTTTTTACTGTAACTTTTTTAGATTTAAAGGTATCTACATCAAACTTCAAATAATTATTCCCTATCATCAATTACATTTTATGTGACAAAGTTCATAACTCTTGATGCAATATTTACAGATTTATCTCTCTTTGAACTTAGGATTTTCTTTAAGAAATATTGTAACTTCTTTACTTTTTAAGGTATCTACTTCAAACTTCAAATATAAATTTCTTATCATTACACACATGTTGTGTGACAAGGTTCATCACTATAGTGTGACTATTTCCAGAATTATTCCCCTTGATCTTGGAATTTATGTTAACAAATGTTTTTTTTTTTACTATAACTTAATACATAATTATTCATAATTGATTTTTCTTTCATAGTTTTGTCCTCCTTACTGTGCCCAGTATTTTATTAGTCAATCTTCGCTGTCTCCTGTGACAGCTCTTGTTATACACCCGGGCATATAGTAATTGAACCATCCATCTGTCTGTACAATGTTAACAGAAAACAGCAAGTTGGATATTTCTTAAATAATACCTGTAACAATGGCTTGTATACTTAACCTATTCCGGCAAGTTTGATTTATCTTATTTCTCCTAATTACATCAATTATTAGTCCCCTACCGGTTTAACTTGAGGGGATTTTAGGTTTTCCGTCAGTCTGTCATGTCAGTCCGTCCGTCCACAAAACCGGATCCCGCAATAACTCAAAAAGTACTAAAAATATTTTTATGAAACTTGATATATGGAAAGATGGCAGTATGGAGATTATACACGTTTTTCTTTTTCTTTTTTTTTGTTCCTATGTTGAAAATTCTGGTTGCTATGGCCACAGTCTGAAAATATGGCAAATTTAACACATAAACTGGATCCAGTGATAACTTAAAAAGTACTGAAAATATTTTTTATGAAACTTGATATATGGATAGATGGCAGTCTGTAGATTATGCACATCTTTTTCTGTTCTTCCTATGTTGAAAATTCTGGTTGCTGTGGCAACATATAGTCTGAATTTCAAGATTTCTGATTTAAATTTTTCAGCTTTTTCACTATAAGTTCTTTATTTCTTAAGTTGTTTATTTCAAACTTTAAATACTGTATAAGTTTCTGGTCATCAACCACGTCATATGTGACAAGATTTACAAATCTAGCACAAAAATTATCAGTATTACCTCCCTTAAACTTAGAATTTTTATGGGTAAAAAAAATGTTGTCTTTTTAGCTCACCTGTCACAAAGTTACAGGGTGAGCTTTTGTGATTGCTTTCCGTCCGGCCCGGCGTCTGTAAAATTTTACTTTAAATGACATCTCCTCGTAAACCACAGAGCCAATTTCATCCAAACTTCACAGGAATGTTACTGACAGTATTAATTATGAAATGAAAATTAATGACTTAGCTTTATAATTATTAAAGTTTTTCGATGTTTTAATTGCATGACATTTTATTGTACCTGCTTAAGTCCATTAGTCCCTACTGCACCAATCAAAAATGGTGTTTTGTCCTTGTCTGCCATTCCCTCTAAACTTCTGAATAACTGAAATACAGTATGCAATTTATATATATTTTTTACTAAATATTCACAAAATGTTATAATTATATGCAGAACTATTTTTTTTACATTATTAATTAATAAGTTTTTAACTTAAATTTAAATGAATTTTTATGCTCCGGGGAGCATATAGTCGGCGCCTTGTCCGTCCGTCCGTTGTCTTGTCCGGAGCATAACTTGAAAACCCTTGGAGATAATTTGTTTAAACTTCATACAGTGGTAGAGGGCATTGAGGGGGAGTGCAGTGTCAAAGAACAATAACTCTATTTTGCCCGGTTTTTGAATTATCTCCCCTTATAGAAAAATCTTGTCCGGGACATAACTCTAAAACTATAAGAGATATCAATATGAAACTTTGTAGGTGAATAGATCTCAATGGGTAGATGTGCAGTGCATAAGAACAATAACTCTTTTAGTCCTTATTTTGGAGTTATTGCCCTTTGTTAATTTTAACACTTTGAACTTTGTCCGGAACATAATTCTAAAACTATAAGAGATATCATATTCATGTAGGCAGATAGATCTCATTGAGTAGAAGTGCAGTGCAAAAGAAACATAAATCTGTTAAGCCTCATTTTTTAATTATCTCCCCTTTTAGAAAAATCTTGTCCAGGACATAGCTGTAAAACTATAAGAGATATCAACATGAAACTTTGTAGGTAAATATATCTCAATGGGTAGATGTGCAGTGCACAAGAATCATAACTCTGCCTTTCCTAATTCTGGAGTTATTGCCCTTTGTTTATTTTTCCTTTTTGAAGTTGTCAGGGAAATAACTCGGAAACCAATAGAGATTTCAACAAGAAACTTTGTAGGTTGATAGATCACATTGATTAGAAGTGCAGTGCAAAGAACAGTAACTCTGCCTTGCCTAATTTTGGAATTATTGCACTTTGAACTTTTTCCAGGGACATAACTCTGAAACTACAAGAGGTGTTCTTTCCTGTGTCCAAAACCTATTCGGGGAGCATCACCCGGCTTAAACCGGGCTCTTGTTTGATAAATGTAATTGAACTGAAGACATAATTTTGCTCTATATAATTACCAGGCATGATAAATCTGATTAAACTTGGGGGAAAAAAAGTGATCATATATTCCATTACAGTTCAGTGTTTAAATTCCCAAATTTGATGTTCAAAATTTCCCAAAGGCCAAGTGATTTAAATCCAACATATTCATATAAATCATCACTCAAAAGTTCTACTTGGACAGTGGAAACTGTTACCTATCTTCATTCATGATGACTAATCGTATTTGTAGCTGAAAAAATTCATTAAAAAAATCCCAAATTAAGTCAAAATAACGCATTTTTTCCCAATCAGTCTGGTACCAGCACCATTTCCAAAGAAGAAAAAAAAATGCTGCAGTTACTGGAATTTGATTTCTGGTTTACAGCTCAGTATCTTAAATCATTTCCGGTAGACACCTTACTAAAGAGAAAAATAATGCTTGAAATTTTGAAAAAAATAAAATAAAATCAGCTTCAAACAGTTCAATATTTAAAAGCAGTACATGTAAAGTGAAATTTCTAAATGTGAAAGATAAACGCTTACATTCTGCGGGAAACTTCCTCCGCTTTTCGTTGTATATATGCTGAAAATTTCCTGCACTATTTTGAAATTTTCATCTGAGTATGCAGCAACGCTCAACTCGTGATGGAGGTTCCTCCTCTGTATTTCATGTAATTTAATTAATACATGTAAAATTACCAATATCAGGATAAGTCGTGCAAATAATAAGTACACAGAAAGTCTCATAGAAATCAATTGATTTTTACTTCTTTAGAAAAGGCAGTCACAAACATTAGATAAATAATGTTTAAATGAAAGTTTTAGTGATAATTACAAACCATTTATATACAAAAGAAAAATTTTTAAACTGTAAATGTTAAAAGTTTGTAATTCTATTAAAATCTAAACAATAACATGAACGTATACAAAGAGGTGTATTATGTTACTAACTCTTCTTCATGGCATACTGCGTAAGATGAACAGATCATTCATTCAATTCCCCAATGAAATATTTTCTTGAAAATATAGGCATCAACAGAGCACCAAACAATACATTTAACTGAATCTTGTTGTCCCCCGCCTTTTCGAAGAAAATAGGGGGATATAGAAATATGCTCCATATGTCTGTTCATCTGTTCTATTAAAATTTCCCATTGAATGAAAAAGTATTTGAAAATCATGGGAAATTCTCACCCCATCCCAATTCCCAAACCTTCCCCCACCCCGTGCCTGGACCCCGTCCAAAATGCTGATGAGAGCCCTGTTTTTAAATATCTTATATTTGCATGGACACCCACCTTTGAGCATAAAATTCCAAGCGAGGTTGCCGCAATGTCACGCCAATCACTATCACTCTCTTCACTGAATTTAGTGAAAACCTCCCGGCAGCACATCACTCTTTCCTTTCAAGATTAATATGAACATTTTTTTGTTAATTAAATCTTCTAACTATAGTATCCTTGTTAACAGATCTTTATAAGATGTACTATGCTCATCATGCATATAATTATGCAATAAGTTTAACCTTAGTGTCTAAATTTTGCTTGCTTTTAGCTGACTTTTTGTTTTTAATGGCTATAACCTGGTTATTTTAGAATGGTTTGTCTTCAAAATTTAACATGATGATCTTTAAGGATAGACCTTTAAGCATGGCCGGCAAAATCAATTGTCCGTATTGCCCAGGTTGTCTCTCAGCCTGTACGGACAAGTGAAAATTTTCAAAAATTAACTATTTAAATATCATACGGACAAATTAAAAAATGCTTCACATAAAAACGGACAAGTAAGTAAAAATCAGATTTTGCCGGCCCTGCTTTAAGTTGACCAGACCCACCTTTACATTCATTTATAAAAGACGTCGACTTTGAAGTTCAAGATATTGAAATTTTCCATGTTTTGCTGTAACGGGCTAGAACATTTAATATTTAGGATAAGACCTACATGTAATTCAAACTCCAAATGTTAAATTAAATTAGGTTGTGTAAATGAATATATGAAAAAGAATGATTATATTAAAAAATACACATAATTTTGTATTTTACAGAGTGGACAAAACCTCTTACCTGAAATGTAAACTCTTTTGTTTTACAAATTCTGTTGTGTGTGTTGGCCACAAATTTCCCTTCAACCTCTGTAAGTCCAACGTAGATTTCTACGTCTATGTTGCTTTAAGGAAGAGGAACAAATGAATGTGTATTTAAGTTGAAGAAAAAAGACAGCTTTAGGTATTCTTCTCTTATTTTATAATGCGTTAAAACAAGTGTGTTCAATTATTTTTTTAAGTCAGGGCACTTGTTTGGGTGATTTTGGTGCCATATATATATGGATATCATTCACCTCTTAAAGTCATTTGTCTTTTTCCCATATCTCAAAAAAAAAAGAAAAATCCCCACAAAATGTTATAATAAACTTTTGTTTTATTTGTAAGTGTACATTAAAAAAAAAATATATTATTCACGACTTTAATGGTAGGAACTTAAAAAATCTTCTTTGAAAAAAAAACAAATAGCTAGAGTTTAGATACTAAGCATGAAACAACTTCTAGTGAGTGTCTACCAAGTTTCTTCAAATAAAAGCCCTGGGGTCAAAATTGGCCCCGCCCTGGGGGTCATTGATTTTCCTTATATGTGTATAACAAAAACTTAAAAAATCTTCTTTGAAAAAACTCAAATAGCTAGAGTTAAGATATTAAGCACGAAACATCTTCTAGTGAGTGTCTACAAAGTTTGTTCAAATAAAAGCCCTGGGGTCAAAATTTGCCCCGCCCCAGGGGACATTGATTTTCCTTATATGTGTATAGCAAAAACTTAAAAATCTTCTTCCAAAAATCTAAATAGCTAGAGTTCAGATATTAAGCATGAAACATTTTCTAGTTAGTGTCTACAAAGATTGTTATGCCCCCGCCATGTAATGGCCGGGGCATATAGTGTTACCCTGTTCCGTCATTCCGTCCTTCCATCCTTCTGTCATTCCGTCATCATCAGTTTCCGTTCATTATCTTAAGAACGGTTGCACGTATTCAACTCAAATTTGACATATAAATATGTCATGAGAAAATACAGGTCAAGTTCGAATTTGGTCATGGTTCGATGATTTTTGGCAGAGTTATGCATCTTTTACTTTGAAAATAATATGAAATTTTCAGTTTCCGTTCATTATCTCCCCAAAGATACAACACATTCAACTCAAACTTGACATATGGATGCATCAAAGGAATGCGCAGGTCAAGTTCACATTTGGTCATGGTTCAATGATTTTTGGCAGAGTTATGCCCCTTTCACTTTGAAACTAACATGAAATTTTCAGTTTCCGATTATTATCTCCCCAATGGATACAACACATTCAACTCAAATTTGACATATGGATATGTTTTTGGAATGCCCAGGCCAAGTTCGAATTTGGTCATGGTTCAATGATTTTTGGTAGAGTTATGCCCCTTTCACTTTGAAAATAATATGAAATTTACAGTTTCTGTTCATTATCTACCCAACAGTGAATAATGTTGTATGTTTTTGACATTGTTAGATTGCTTGCAATATTATGATATTGATTGCTTGTTTATTATGTTATTTAAATTTTATGTTTCAGTAACTTACCGGAAACAATTGTAGTCATCATTTAGAGGAAATTCGGCCAACACCCTTTTCATTGCTGCCAGGAGGTGATTTCCCCCCAAGGCATACATGTTGTATGATGTTATTTCATCTTCTTCGAATTGTTCAGGGCCGCAAACCTTTATATGAAAGAAATGTTGATGTTGAGATTTATATCTTTTTTAAGTGAATTTCGACTAATAACTAAGGAACTTGTAAAATAAGTTATTTTCAGATACAAACATTTTGTTTTGTTTTAAACAATCACTAAGTTTCATTTAGATTTTATACACACCTTTTCATCAGCCAAAAGAATTGGGATCCTTGTTATTGGTCTGATAGGACATTTTTTCATGTTTTTGTGTAATGATTCAATCCATTTCTTGTTTAGTTCTCTCACTAAGAGGTTACTTGGTGTTGGTTTAATAATACTAGTCGGTATGGTATATTGTCCTGAAACGGAATAATGATTTAATTTTTTATAATTGATATACCCAATTCAGTTATTCATACAATGCTTTATAAATGTGTCCGATGAACACGCAATTACAGTAGCACAATGTTTAATGATTTATGCTTGATTATATTAATAAATTAAATGATATTAGTTTGTTTATACGGAATGTCGGTTGTTCTACTTGGGTGCCCATTCGTGCCTGAAAAAATATTACATTTTATCATTAAAATTAATAATACATATTATTCACAATTTTCATTGTCTCCCTGGAGAAAAGAAATTCTCAACAATTTACATTTTGCTTATAAATTCAATAATAGAATATCATTAATTAAATAAGCTATTCATTGCCTATTAAGAATTAATAAAAATTAATTCAAAACATTCAATCAATATCCTCTATTTAATAAATCATAATACACTTACTGCAAATGAACTGTTCAATAAATTTTACAATTCAGATATGTACTAGGCTTTGTTGTAAAGTTGGTGGAAGCAAACATTTTCAAGAAAGTGAAAGTTTCTTGTTTAATGGTTGGACATACACATGAGGATATAGACCAACTTTTCAGCAGGTAATATGGATTTTATATACTACTAAATCAAAAAACAAAAACATTTTAAATGTTTTTTTGTTTTTTTTTAAATCTTATTACCTGAATATGCTTTCAGATGTAATTTCTGTGCAAATCGCGCAGCCTATATGCAACACTGCGTACATAAATTGTGTAGTTAATACTAGTGTCTTAGTCTTTCCTATCTATTTAATTATGAAGAAGACACGGATCTAGACATGTAACTGTCACATTGTGAAAAGAACTGCCTCAAATCTTTATTACTGTAAAAATTTTATTGTACAATTGACCAACCTGTTGCAACATATTCCCACAATGATGGCAGTAGTAAATGTCATGTTCATTGAACGCCGCCCTTCCTTGTCGATCTTGCTCATCTTACATACTATAAGTAGTAACCCGAAATTCATAACTTCAAACAAAACCTGCAATATAGCATTTCAAATATATTATATACATAAAATGGTGCATTGAATTAAACAAGGAATTTTAGTGTATGCTCAAGTGGAAATCCAATTTAATTAGATGTGGCCAGATCAATTTATTTATTGATATAATTATCCCAAAGTTAGGGTAATCTATCAGTAATGTTTAGTCACTAATACACTAATGTACATATTTTACAACATAGGTGAGCATCAGTGACAATGAATTTCAGTTCAAACAAATAAAACCTTATAGATAAAAAATATATATATTCTATATTACTATAATATTAGTCACAAAAATAATTTGAAAATCAATGTTTTAATTCACAAGTGACAACAATTTATACAAAATAAATACTTGTCCAATTGATAGTTTAAAAAACATTAATACAAAATTCAAGATATGCAGACCATTAGACAAATGCACTCGACGTCCACTAGAATTTGCCATCAAAAGATTCTCCAGATCCAAATAAATATTACATACTTTAAAATAATTGAAATATTTGCATAATTATATTGATGAAATAAAATGTTTGTTTTCATTTTCTATATTTTCAACGTAAAAAAATATTTTTCAATTACAGTGAAATGTACTTTCTGTATAAGTAGATCTATAATGTAAAAAAAGTTTTTCAATTGTTTAAAGTTATTTAGCAGAACTAAAAGTAGACATTTAAAAATGAAATGATTTTTTTTTAACATTTGACCTTTAAGTGTGACCTAGATACCGGAGCAAGCAACCCTATTATTACGCTCATGTGATTATTTAGAGATTAATAGACGGCAGACAAGGGCCGGAAGGTGATAACCGGCTCGCAAAATGAATAATGGCCCCGGCTTTAGAAGGGAAATATGTGCTTAGGACTTCATTTAGCCGTTGCTATTCAAGTTGCAAGTTCATACGCTACTGTAAGAAATTAGTTATGAATGAAATAACTAATTTCCATAAATATATATCATACCGAGATAAACCATTTCAAATATGAAATAATATGGCAGAATATGCAAGAACAAATATCTGACATATGTTTACGGTTAGGATCGGAATATCCAACCTGCGGGAACCCGCCATTGGGCAGTTAATCAGCAAGCAATGTTGCCGCCCAATGGGCAGCTCCACTCCCGATGGATATTCCCATTCAAAATAAAAATTTATAATATATACAAAAATGAATAAAGATATTGGAAGAAAATAGTGATTTAGTGTCGGAGTTAACTCTCCAACCAGTAGTGATACAAAATAAAACTGAATGGTTTAGGAATAAGTAATATAATATATTCTAGAACACATTTTTAAATTATATGGCTTGTGTCAGTCTATCAATACATATATAAGTAAATAGAATAGCAAAAATGAATTAAACCAAAAATGTTTAATTAGTTAACAAAATGCAAGTCCTTTGAAAATTAATGGAATGAAAAGGGTGAATAAAAATCAAGGATTTATGTTGGCACAGGATGTATCTCAGATGAATTCCAAGGACAAACAATAGACAAGCAATCTTGTAATGTAGTTTCAGTACTCACCAAAACTACACTCTGAAAATACATAATAAAGTTAAATTAACACATTCTAAATAAATAGTACATTTTATGATTTAACATTCATGAATTGCACAATTCATTCATACATCTTTCCAGTTTCTTTTAATTAAACATTTTATCACACGATTATTGCATTACATCATAAAAAAACTTATACATGTACAACAATATATCAGACTTACCAATTCATGGAACCATTAAAGTGCACAACAAATAGTCAATAGTTATACACTTTTCACTGTATCCAGTGTGCTGTTATTTCTGGAAATTACAAATGAATAATGTACAAAGAGTTTGAATAGAATGTGAGATTATTTGTTAATATTTAAATAAGAAAATAACGATATGAAACTGCTATATCAAACCAATCCATAAAGTGGTCCAAAAATACGACACAGACACCATTTACATTACTTATTAAATTCTCTATCATAATTCAATTAAAGACAAAATTAAGTTAAACAAAGCTTAAGGCTCTGGAAGCAATTTGATTTAAAAATACATTTTTAATAACAATAATATTCCATAAATGACAAATAATTAAAAACATGATTCTCAAAAACACACTGACCCATAGAAGAACAATGGTCCAGGGGAAACAACTCTCTAATGACAATTAATAAAGAATTACTGATTATGTCACTGTTAAACAAATACATTATGAAAATAATTATTAAATCTTAAACCAACACATTTTTCACTTGAAAGATCTGCCCAGTTTTTTGGCAAATATTTATCCAAAGACCAGCACTGACCGGCAAGCCAGTACTGACTTCATAATATTTAAGTCCGGGAGTGACCGGATACCGAAGAACAGTATCCAAATGTTTAATACACTTGTTGCTATATATACATAATGAAATAAAGCGATTTGTGCAGACAACCTACTTTCACTTTTACAGTTAACCATTTGATGACATAATATATGACGTCATTGTTTCAGTTTGTGCACGTGCATATGTTCTACGGGCTGTTAACTAGTTCTCTGCCCCGGGCCGCAAACTCATAATAGGTCAGGTGACACTCATAATCAGTTGAAATCAGAGGCAATTTTGTTACTCTATATAGTAACAAGTGTATTAATCAAATATAATGGACGTATCTCTACCTGAAACCTGATTTGTGAAAATAGAGTTTTCTTACAGATATGGAGACTAATAATATCTGTCATATGTTGCGGTTCGGACCGGAATATCCGCCCAAGGGGACCCGCCCATTGGGCGGTAACGAGGCTTGCCGAGTTACCGCCCATGGGCGGGTTCCCGAGGGACGGATATTCCGATCCGAACCGCAAACATATGTTAGATATTTTTTCTTGCATATTCTGCCATATTATTTCATATTTAAAATGGTTTACCTCAATATGATAAATGTTCATGGAAATTAAAGTCATTTCATCCATAACTATTTTCTAACAATAGCGTATGAACTTACAACTTAAATAACAACGGCGAAATGACGTCATCCTTAGCACATATTTCCCTTCTAAAACGACGTCATTTTAACGCGGTTCATTCATAAAGCGCGCTAAAATGACGTTGTTGTTTGGCACGCGACTCATCTGGCACCCCCATGCCAGATGAAATTTCCGGCATTGGTAAAACTCACGGAAACCTCAGCCTGATATGCAAGAAATTTTAATAAAAAAAATATAAATGTTCTTAAGAAAAAGATTTAAGCAATGACTTAAATAAACTAATTTGACGAACATATATAGAGGATATTGAATGAGTGTAAGTTCAATACTGTATTTATTGCACGAGTTGAATAAAATTATATTATGTGAGCCTCTGGCAAGAATAATATTTTTTTATTCAACGAGTGCAATAAATTCAGTTATGAACTTACACGAATTTAATATTGTATTTATCAAATACCAAAAATAAAGACCGTTTCAAGTGAAATAAGAGTCAGTTTTCATTGACGCGCCTATAGTATAACGCTAACATTTAGCGCGTCTTTACACAATGTTTGTATAACGCTAATGACGTCACGTCAAAATATATGCACGGCCATGCAATACCATATTTACCGAGTCGCAAAATCGGCACGGGTGTTTGATCAACCTTTTTTAATGGCATTCAAAGTTTAAACTTCAAATGGTGAAAGTATTCATCGCACTACATATGAAGGTAATATTTCAGTGATTGATGTTTTATTTTTTTACTATTTCAGGTGTGTATTTAGAAAACATCAATGACGGTTGTACAGGCAAGGAAAGCACATGTCAGAAACAGAAGTAAAATTTTGTAAGATGTACCATCAATTTAAGTAATAAAGGTATTATTTTGATTCCTAAATCAACTAGATACACTGGCAATAAGTTTTTCTTCTTTGCCAACTTTTAGAGTAAATCTTATAGCTTCATAACTGTCCAGGTGCTTACCATTTTTTCCTCTCTATAGATAACAAGCGAAAAATGAAATTAACTATTCCTCAATGTACAGGCTTGTACGATCAAGTGCGTAATGGCAATCTTTATGCTTAGTATATAAAAAAGAAAGGCAAATGATACACATTACTTTGACGTCAGATATTGCGCTATATTAATCTAAGACATTAGTAAAACAACTTCTTTCCCCTAAAGTTATTCAACATATATTTTTAAAT